TATTTAACTTTCTGGTGCCACGGCTGGCTGGCTTATGGAAACAATCAATACTTATCTCACAGGGTGACTGGGAAGATTAAATGTAGTACTTAGAGGATGCCTGAGATACAGTAAGTGTAATGAGTCACATATTATTAAATCAAGAAGGTAAAATAAAAACTATGCTAAAATTTGTAAACTGGATTCTTTTTAAAGGTATAATGCCAATCACTACAGTTTTCTTCAGTATTATTTTTATTGCAAAGGGCATGTGTGCGTATGAGAGAGAGAGAGAGAGAGAGAGAGAGAGCGAGCAAGCAAGCAACCCCTAATGGAGAATGGTCACATCACAATCTCTTTTCCTCCATTTCTCCATCCCATCAGGATTCTGAGCACACATGCACATGCACTTAGCATGTTCTTCAAGTCATTGGGGCTGAGATTTGAACCACAGTTGGCCATGTAGGATCCAGCTTTCTCTGCGCAGTGCTTAACCACTGCACTATAGGACCAGTCCTCCTTCAGTATTTTTAATAGGAAGTGATCCACTTCTATGCTGATAAAAACAAAAACTCCAGGGCCAGCAGAGGTATGGTGATTAAAGCACTGGCTTCCCAAAACACTGACTGTAGCTCGAGTCCGGGACCTGGTGGCTTGCCTTTTTATTTTCTTTCTTTCTCTGGTAAGTACATGTGCACTACAGCAAATTTAAAAAAGGATAATAATGAATAAAATTAAATAAATAATTTTTAAAAACCTAACTCTAGTGTCCAGCAGTTGGCGTGGTGGTTTAGGCATTGGATTCCCACAAGGCCAACCACAATTTGAGTCCCGGTACAGGCAGCTTGGCTGGGTGGATGTGCACATGTGTGCCTAAAATCCCACGGAGAAATGGAGGAAAAGGGATTACAACATTACTATCCCCCCGGAGTGGTGATTTCTTACTTCCCCTCTCTCTGTCTGTCCTGCTAGCACCCAAAGCCCTGTGGGCAAAAACCTTTAAACAAACAAAAAATACAAAAAAAATAAATAACCTGCACCTGTAATATTCACATGACTCTTTTCCCAGCGTATTATCAAACATCTTAATACATTAGTGAAATACCTTCCTTTCTCTTTTTATTTTTTAAGAGGTATTTGCCATAGGGTACATGTGCTCACCATCAAGTGAGAGACAAAGATGGTGAGAGGGAAAGTGAAAAATCATCCCCAAGGGGGGAATGTTCACTCCACAATCCCTTCTCCATTCTCTCCTCAGGACCTTGGGCATGCATGCACATGTACCCAGTGTGAGTTTGAAGCCACTGGGTCAGGGACTTGAACCACGGTCAGCCATGTGGGAATCCAGTAACATAACCACTACACCATCTGTTGACCCCCCAAAAAATCTTACTTTTCTTACTAAGCTTTAAGAAGTTTGAGGTTATGTCTTGCACCTAGATAACATGCATACAGATATGCTCATTATTTCTTAAATAAATTGATTAATAGCACTATTTCACTTGAACTCTAATAGATGAATGTAAGTAACCTAGAGATTCATTTCATCTTTTTTTTGGGGGGGGGAGAGGTTTTGGCTATAGGGCGCGTGCGCTTGTCAGACAGAGAGAGACATAGAGACAGAAAGCGAGAAATCATCCCCCAGGGGGGATGGTCATTCCGCAATCCCTTCTCCTCCATTCTCCTCTCGGGATCTTGGGCACGCACGCACACGCGCCCGGCGTGAGTTTTAAGCCACCAGGTCCGGGACGTGAACCGTGATCAACTACGTGGGAGTCCAGCGACATAGCCATTACGCTAACTGCTGGTTCCCGAGGTTCATTTAATCTTACATACTCCTGGTGTTTAAAGGTTTTTTTTTTTTTTTTTTTTTTTTGTGGGGGAGAGGTTTTTGCTATACGGCGTGTGCACTCGCCAGAAAGACAGAGACAGAGATAGAAGGCAAGAAATTACCCCCCAAGAGGAATGGCCACGCCGCAACCCCTTCTCCTCCATTCTCCTCTTGGGATCTTGAGCACGCATGCACATTTGCCCGGCATGATTTTAAGCCACCAGGCCCGGGACTCGAACCATGGTAGGCTACATGGGAGTTCAGTGACACAGCCATTATGCTAACTGCTGTTCCCTAAAGTGTTATTTTTAATACCAGTCCATAAACTGAGTGCTGTAATCCATACAAGAAAAAAAAAAAACAAAGAATGAATGGGTATGAACTATGCTTTTACAATAGGTGGACATATGCATGGTGCATCTAAATGCCACAGTATATTCAATTCTAAGTCTACTTGTTTCTTTAACTTAGGAGCCAATGTAGTCTTTTGCATAGCAAATCTCCCAACAGTAACTGATCTATGTTCATTTTAAAGCTTATAAAATACTGATTACTTTTCTCCTGTGTAACTTCTTCTGTTTCCAAGAAGCATAATAATTCAGGGAAAACAAAAACAAAAACACTAACAAATCAACTGTAAATTATCTGCTCAAAAGTAAGGTATCATAGTTTCTACTGCGTACAGAAAATCTACATGCTTAACACCAAAAGACTGTTGGGAAGATATAGCTCTCTGAAAATAATGAGTTGCCAAGCAGAAGAGAGCACCAATTTAATTTTTGGTGTTCCAGAGGCAGGGCAAAGTATAGGGATGCATATTTCTGATATATGTAAAAAAATTAGCAAAAATTAGAACTGTCTAGGGAAAAAGGGAATTACATGAAGTAATGAATATAAGTGAAAATGTTTTAGGAATGATGTAAAAAAGTCAAGTATTTGAAGGAGTTGAATTATATGATCACAAACTCCCCTTAATTAGAATGTGCTTACCCCAAATATAGTCAGATACATCAAACTAACAATGCAAAGTATGTTTACCTGCCAGAGGTTATAGTCTACATGGGTTACGTGAATTTCACCTTTACAGAGAAAATACATCATGACTTTCCCAACAACCTAATAACTAAGTTTACTAAATTCATATTTGCCTCATATACTTACTGAGGCACTAAGAAAAACTATGGCTACAAAGCAAGTAGGATATTTTTCAAGAGGAAGCAAAAGATATAAATAAGCTAGAACATAAATCCTAAAAGTCCATGGAGGTTCATTATGCTTTTGTGGATGTTTGAAATTTTCATAGTAAAAGCCTAAAATAAGAGCCCCAAAATAAAAAATAAAACTTAACTCTCATTTATTATAGATGATATTGGTGTGTATTTTTTAAGCTACAAGAACAGTTAATGATTTAGCATCTACTTTCTTTATCTCAGTTTGCCTGGAGCCAAAATTGAAAATATTCAACCTCTAGTTATTATTTCTCATACACTCTAAATTTCAGAGTAAAAATTCTTAAGCACTATTTAGAAACAGGTTCATTACCAAAACTGAATGACACTGAAATGTGAGATTTAAAAATGTTATCAGATAGCAGATTTTCTTCTTTTAACTGAAGCTGCAGAATGGTTTTATACCTGACTTCAGTTGGTATGGTCCACTGTAAAATTGTTTTGATTTTTAAAAGCCTAGAAAATATTATTTATTTCTGTTTAAAAGCTAAAACTTATACTACTATTGAAGAAAAGATACAGCATTCATGTGGCAGTAGGCTGGAAGTCAAGCTAAAAGATTCCAGTCCTGGCTCTGTACCGATTTTACTTTTAACATGTCACTTAAGCCTTCTGCATCATGGTGTTCATCCATAAAATAACTCAGACTAGATGATTTCAAAGACTCTATCTTGTTCTGAAGTTATACATTATGAACTTCACAGTGAGTCCAACTCCCTCCATGTGACAGGTAACTCTACCCTTACGCTAGCTATAGTGATACAGTATTGTAGGTGAATCCAAACAAACTGTGTAAAGCAGAAATGGTTAGGCAAATGGGATCAAAGATACCAGTTTGAAATATAGGGTGAAATAGCTCAAGAATCTTTCTGTTCTTGACTAAAAGATTGTATGCTATAAATAAAGCTCTGAAAAGATGTAAGAACTTTGTAATCCAAATAAGATAAGGAACTCTACTTACTCTTAAACATAAAGGGAAATTTCTGACTAGTAATTTCCTGACATTTAATCTCAGTGGCCATCCTCCCATCCTGCACTGATGTTGCCTTTGTGGCACACTGAAGTCAAAGGTGTAGAGGACAATGGGTGGCTTACTAAGCCAGTATAGGTTCAAATTAAGCATATGAAAAGACTACTTTTCCCAGTTAATAATAAATTACAAGGATTCAGTTAGAAGTATAAATGTTTCCGTTGGGATGTCTGTATATATACACCACACAGGTAATTCCCTAACTCTAATACCAGTGAAATGAATTCACATAAATGGTGCTGCTATACTGTTCAGATTTCAACAGCCCTTTATGAAGTCCAAATCTAACTGTATAATCTAATACAATAATCTAAAATAATCCAAGTGAATACGTGAATTTCTTCTGTGAGGTGGAGTAATTTTTATGGAGGTTTATTTATAATTATGAAGTAAATAAAAGAAGCAATCCTTCCCAAACTTAGTCATAAGCAAGCTATGTAGTACAAATGTGCTACACTGAAAAGCCAAATGCTTTCAGTAATAGCAACACTGAAAAGCGATTCATAGAGCTCCATCTAGTCTGTTAATTCATATTATAGAAGAACTGCCAGGAGAATGTGAGCTATCCAGAAAGTATAGTGTCAATGTCAACTATTGCGGGAAAGGTATCCTGGGTACAAGATAGGAAGAGGAATATAGCCCTAAAAGATGCGTAACAACAAGCAAGTAATGGGTGAAGCATTATTATAAGTTAATTATATTTAATTCATAGCTGAAAAGAATTCAAAAATAAGATTAGTAGTAAAAACCTATGAATGACTGTGAAACACAGAGAGTGTCTGAGTTTCTTCAAAGTGCCTGGTTGGGATGACGCGGTGTTTATATAAAAAACTTGAATGGAGATGTAAGCTGGTATTGTGGTTTCTTGATGATTTAACCACAAATGCCTTCCCTATTTAAATATTCCAATCAGTACTGTTAGTACACATACCTCGGAGAATTCTTTCCTCATGGCAACGAAGAAAGTCCCAGATTCTAACAGTGCCGTCATCAGAGCATGTAGCAAATTTATTATCCGTGGGTGAGAAACTGTTACATGAAGACACACAGCAGGGGAAAGAAGTCAGCAATTTAACAAATTATCTGTGCTTCTCAGACAGGGGAAAATAAAAACACTGTGCTGCATTATAACAGGAGAGGGAAGTATCCAGTGAAGAAGCCCTTAAAGAGAATGCTGTCAGCTATCATATACACCTCATCAAATGAAGAACTCAGCAGGGTAGTCGTTTCTTAGTTTCTAATCAATATTCAGAGAACTTTACAAGTGCATTATTAATACTACTGCTACCTATGCTCTTCTCAGAAAAGGATTTCCTATGGTACCAATGAAACACATGTTGCTAACTGAAGTGCTAAAAACTAAGTGAAACGTTTTTCTGCAATATTCCTGTAAACAGGCTTTTAATTAAAACTTAAATTAATTCCTAATTAATTTAATTAGGAAATACTGCTCAAAAAACTAGCATCAGCTTCTGCCTCACATACTTCAGCTTCTGCCTTAGATGCTTCACAAAATAATGTTCATCACTTTTTTAAAAGATGTGTGGAAAACGTTCACACTTTCTTCCTGGCAAAGTATCCTAAAAATGTTGCACTTTTTGAGGAAATCTTTAAAACAGGGACAGTTACATGAGTTTAAAGACAAAGATTCTGCTGCGAAAGAGGAAGCCAGTTTTCTTCTCAGCAGTAAAAAGGCCATTACATTTTTCAACTAGTTGTAAGAATGCTCTTGAATTTTGAATCCTATGACTAAGAACAGACTAACAGTGATAACTCAATGTACGGTCATGGGACTATGGCAAAGACTGTAAAGCAGAAGCCTGTTTATCCAACAACTGTTAAAATGCTGAAAGAGGAAGCAAATGACTGTGGTGGGTGATGTTTACACTGAGATGTCAACCTCCTTCATGTGTGGGTGGCACAACCTTGAAGAATGCTGCTTTGCTTTATTCTGAGGCTGCAGCAATTCTTCAAACTTATTTTTGAAACTCCCAATCCCCCAGCTTTACTATACATATCTCACTGATATGTAAAAATACACAACTCACTTAAAGTATTTTAAACTCCACTCATACATTTGTATATGGCTTTTATCAACAGTGAATCAGAAGAAAAGTCCTAGAGTCTTCTTGAAAATGATCTGCTTACTGCTGCAAAGCTTGAAGAACCCATTCATTGCTCCATTAATGTTTGCCACATCCAGAGAGTTATCTGTGAGGGTTTTTACTCCTATACTTTCCCTTTGAAGTTGTGGCATAACCAAGCCAACCAGGTCTTCACTTAAGCCTTTTCTTCTTGTATTTTGTGTGAATTCTGAAGATGTTTTCTGTAGTCTTTAGATTTTATTCAGTTGTATAATTAAAGACTGAATTCTTTATTTGGAATGAAATATTCTTGTCTTACACAATATATCATCAAAAGGAATAACGTATACACATTATTAACCATAAATAAAAAGAGAAAACCAGTGCAAAATGTGGTAGACAGTACATCTCTAACATATTGCAAAGGCTGATACCAGGACAACACTACTTCAGAAAGGTGCCAGCAAAATGGTGAATGTGTGAAAACAAAGAAAAATATTGTGTTCATAGGGTGCAGAAAGTTTCCCAGAATCTGACAGAGCCCATGCATCTTGGCACCCAGAGTACACTTAGAGAATAATTTAACCATGACAATAGGGACTACAGAAAATGGTATATTGTGTATAAACCTGGCCTCTCTAATCGCCTCCTTATGTGCCTGGAACATCTTGACGTTGTTCATGTTCGACTGCCAGTATTTCACATATCCTCCGTGGTCTGCTGTCAGCATCCACATGTCATTATGTGACCATGTCATAGCCCTCACTGGGCTGTCGTGAGCCTGTGAACACAGAAGACATCTGTAAGGTGCAGTTTCAAAGACTGCATGTTCGAAGGCTTACAAGAGCATACATAAACCCACAGTAATGATTGACCACTTGTAAGTTAAGCAATACCAATAAAGTGAAATATTCCAAGTTCCTTAGAGTTCCACAGGATGATGCTGCCATCTAGTGATTACTTTTACCTGTAATATTGTCTCAAAATTGAAAGTGAGTCCATTCCATAAGGTGAACTCTCCACTAGAAGCTCCAGTGACCAACCGTCTTCCTTCTGGAGTCCACTGAGGGAGAGAAGAAAGACAGGTTATGTGAGGGCACAAATCTTCCAATTTAAAGTACTCAATGATGAACACTAAGTAGACAAAACTTTCACTTAAGTGTAGAGCAGCTTTATAAATAAATACTTTGTCAGAAAAGAATGTATATACCACTATGCAATTAAAGTTCTAGCACTTTAGCTCATTATCTGAATGAAAAATAAGTGCATTATGAGTACATTCACCTACACAATAAATACACATTAAACTGCAAACAGATGTGCATTCTAGAGAGCATTTCAAAACAATTAGGTAGAGACCTCATTTACTTAGACTAACATAAAGAGGTCAGTCAGCAGAAAAATTCCCAGACGCAATGTTGGTGTCTTACACGTGATCATGGACTCATTCAAGCAGAAAAATGACTAGTGTTTCATTTTTTACAAAGGAAAACAACAGGTACCAATTTAAGGAATCAAGACTGTTGAACTTTTCCTACATTAGATGCACTTCAGGATTATCTTAAGCTGTCCTCTTGTCACAGCACCAGGCAGTGACTAGTCTCATGCTGATCTATTTTCAAAAAACTTCAGAGAACAGAGACCTAATTACCACTGCACCAATATTTTAATGTCACCATATCCACACTGAAGAGAATCTGTGGCTTATATGCTAGTCAATTAAAAACACTTGAAATATATTTTTTATTATATAATGGGAAGACTACTTGGTAAACTGCAAAAATATATGTGACAATATGACTTTTTATTGCTTTTCTGTAAGTCAGGGTTTTGATTATTATGAATGACAGCCTTGTCCCTTTGTAGTTCCTTTTATCTGCTAAGGATCCCAAATGAGTTGATAGTGCAGGCAATCAAACTACACACACACAATCCATAAGCTTTATTTCCTAACACTTTTTTGGACTGTGTCTCTATCATAGGCAAATTTTTTTCCTAAGACCTTATAGATTGATCCCTAAGTAAGAATATTTACCCACCTAACAATGCAGGAGGCTAAGAATCATTCATTTCAAAAGTTTCCTGTGTTATGCTAAGATGATATTAAGATAAGCTACACCACAACATATCCCTTAGAGTAAAATACCTAATGAAGAAAATTACACTATCTACTGTTTTCTCTACTCATATAACTGTGCTTCTTTACTGATGTTTCTACTGTCTTAGGCTTCTGAGACAAACAGGGGGCCAAAGATTAAATGCACTCACTTCTACAGTCTCTTCCAGCTCTTCTTGGCTCTCCCCATTGTCTACCACACCTGTATAATTTCAGACAATACTATTTTGCTCATTTGCCCCAATGTTTGCCATGAATGGCTTTTTTCCCTGTCTCTTTTGTTTAAATTGTTATTTCCTCAATGTTGACTACGAACCATTCTACCCCTCTGGATACTACTAATAAGTACATTCTTAGTTAGGAAATGTAATAATCAAAACAAATAAAATAATTACAGTATCACCTATGGGAATACAAACTGAAGGCTAGGGACACAGGGATGGGAAGTTTCAGGGTTTGTTTCTTTTTTAACTGCAAGCCCCTTAAACGTTTTAATTTTTGAACCATGTGAATGTACTATTTATTTTAAAATTTCAGTGACTGGGGCTGGCAGGTGATGTGGTGGTTAAGGTGCTGGACTCCCATGTGGCCTAGCGTGGTTTGAGTCCTGGACCTGGCTTCTTGCTTTCTCTCTCTCTCTCTCTCTCTCTCTGGCGTCTTGCTTTCTCGCCCCCCCCTTCCTTCTCTGGAAAAATTAAAACATAAATAACAAATAAAGACCTCGCTTCTTGCTTTCTCTCTCTCTCTCTCTCTCTCTCTCTGGCGTCTTGCTTTCTCACCCCCCCCTTCCTTCTCTGGAAAAATTAAAACATAAATAACAAATAAAGTAAGTAAATAAAAATATCTTTAGAAAAAAATCTCAGTGACTACGTATTGAGTAACTACTTTGGCCTTTCATGGAGCTGACAATTACAGGGCACCATACTTCTTCAGCTCTCCTCAGGTATTTACCTTTCTAGCAACACCTAAGAACATTTCATTCACCTTGGGGTACTGCTTTCTTTTTTTTTTTTTAAAGAATTATTTTATTTAACTTTATTTATTCATTTGTTTATTTCAATTAGACCAGAGAGAGAGAGAGACAGAGAAAGCAAGTCTCCAGGTCCAGGACTTGAACCACGGTCAGCCATGTGGGAATCCAGCGCCTTTAACCACCATGCTGCCTGCGGGCCCCCCATTTTTCTTTTTTTTAAGAATTATTTTATTTAACTTTATTTATTCATTTGTTTAGGGTATTGCTTGCTAAAGAGTGACAAAAGCATTCCTATTAAAGGGCAAATCTGAGATCTGCTATGGTTTTGGATATCCGTATCCATGTATTCAGAGAGAATTCTATGGAAATTACAACATGAAGAAACAAGCCAAAAGTACTATCTTAGTAAATGCAGACAGATTAGATATATGACAAGGTAGTCCAAAATAAAATTACTAGTAATAGGGACCAGCAGGTGGCATGGTGGTTAAAGTGCTGGGCACTCCCACATGGCTGACCATGGTTCAAGTCCTGGACTTGGTGCCTTGCTTTCTCACTTCCCCTCTCTCTCTCTGTCTGTGTCTCTCTCTGTCAAATTAAAAATAAATGAATGAATAAAACTTTTTTAAAATTACTAGTAATAAACTGATTATTACCCCAGATATGGATTTAAAATGTAATTAGATTTTTTATTCTGTCAAGTAAATCTGCAGAATAACTCAGATTAATTTTTTCCAAAAAATACCCGACAGAATACTTACCCTAACAACAAATACTGGACACTTCACTTTATTTGTTGATGTCCGCACAAATTTTGTTGTTACGGCATTCATAGGATTATTCAACATTCCTATAGGTGGAACCAGCTAGGAAAAAGAAAATCGTTTTTTTTTAAAGTTCCTGATTACACACAAGACAGAAATCAGAGACAAGTCAAGGTAATTATTTCAACATGTAAAGACAAATTCAGGGACCAGTCAGTGGTGTGGTGGTTGGGGTGGCTGGATCCCACATGGCTGATTTTTCAGTTCAAGTCCCAAATCTGGCAGTTTAAAAGCATGCCAAGGGACTAGCAGATGGTTATGTGAGACTCCTATATAGTCAACCACAGTTTCAGTTCTGGACCTGGTGGCTTAAAACTCATGCCAGGAGCATGTGTGTGTGTGCCCAAAATCCCAAGAGGAGAATGAAGAAGGGACTGCAGCACGGTCATACTTCTGGGGGGGTGACTTCTTACTTTCGGTTTCTCCAGCTAGTATGCATACCCTATAGTAAAAATCTCTCTTACCAAAGAAAGAAAGAAAGAAAAAAGTGCCAGGTGAGTGTGCATGCAAAACTCAAAATACTTAGAGGAGACTGGAGGAGAGGAAATTGTGGCATGGCCATCTCCCCAAGAGGTGATTTCTCAGCCCTTCCCTTCCCGCCTTATCTCTGGAAGTGCACATGCCCATATATCAAAATTAAAAATTTTAATAAATAAATAATAAAGACAAATTCAGGACTACACAAATTTTTTTAAAATTACACTATTATAGGGGTCAACAGATGGTGTAATGGTTACATCAGTGGATGCCCACATAGTCATCCTAGAGTCTAGAGTCCTAGACCTGGAGGCTTAAAATTCACACCATGTGCATGTATATGCCTGCCTAAAATCCTAGGAGGAGAATGGAGAAGGGACTACAGTGTGGCCATCCTCCTGTGGGGTGATTTCTCGCTGTTTCTGTCTCCCCCTCACCCCGACCCCCAACCTCTCTCTCCAGCAAGTGCACACACTCTATAGCAAAAAAAACTCTCTAAAAAATTATAATAGGGACCAGCAGGTGGCGTAGTGGTTAAGGAACTAGACTACCAAATAGCCAACTATGACACATGTCCGAGACTTGGTGGCTTGTTTTTTCACTTTCTCTCTCGCTCTCTGGTACGCACATGTGCTCTGTTACAAATTCAAAATAATAATAATAATGATAAATAAAATAAAATCTTTTCAAAAATCTGCTTAGAAAACTATAATATATTTATTCTGTATTAATTAAATGAAGAAAAACTAAGATACCTGAAAGTCAAATATCCATTAATTACTACACAAATGACAAAATCAAGTATTATATTAAGCACCAATTTTCCCTGATTACTTCTCAAGGTAAATTACTCAAACCTGTTCACAAATGAGGGACAGCAGATGGCATAGTAGTTATGTTGCTGGATTCTTACATGACCAACTGCAGTTTGAATCCCAGACCCAACGGCTTGAAATTCAAACCAGGTACACGTGCAAGCGTGCCCAAGATCCCAGGAGGAGAATGAAGGAGAAGGGATTGTAGTATGGCCATCCCTCTCACAATCTCTTTCTCCCTCTCCGGCAAGTGCACATGCCCTACGACAAAAACCTCTTCAAAAAAAAAAAAAAAAAGTTGAGACCAGCAGGTGGCATGGTGGTTAAGGGTGCTGGACTCCCACATGGCTGACCGGGGTTCAAGTCCTGGACCTGGCAGCTTGCTTTCTCATCCTCGCCCTCCTTGTACTTCTCTGGACAAATTAAAATAAATAAATAAAGTTAAATAAAATAATTCTTTAAGAAAAAAAATGTTCGCAATGAACTTTTCTGTGACAAGACTCTGAAAAAGTTAACCTTATCTGATATTACATTAAAGTACCAATCAAAAAGTTCATCTATCGGGAACCAGCAGTTGGCGTAATGGCTATGTCGCTGGACTCCCACGTAGTCGACCGTGGTTCGCGTCCCGGACCCGGTGGCTTGGAACTCACGCCGGGCACGTGTGGTGCGTGCCCAAGATCCCGAGAGGAGAATGGAGGAGAAGGGATTGCGGCGTGATCATCCCCCCTGGGGGGTGATTTCTCGCTTTCTGTCTCTAATGTCTCTCTCTGTCTGTCTGGCGAGCGCACACGCCCTATAGTGAAAATCTCTCCCAAAAAAAAAAAAAAAAAAATAAGTTCATCTATCATTAGATTAAAAGGAAAACAAGGGCCAGCCATTTGGCATCGTGGTTAGGGTGACTGGATCCTACATGGCTAACCACATAGTTCAAATCTCAGGCCAGGAAGCTTGAGAAACATACTAGGAATGACACACATGTGTGCCCAAAACCCCAAAAGGAGAGAGATGGAGGAAGGACTGTGCAGTGACCATTCCCTATGAGGAGTTCTTTTTTACTTCGTTCTCTCTCTCTGATAAGTAAACACTCCCTATGGCAAAAAAATTTTTTTTTAATTTGCTGATGGAAGAGAAAGAAAAGGAGCAGAAAAGTGAGAAAGTGCCCCACAGGGGGTATGGCCACACCACAATCTCTTCTCCTCCAGTCTCCTCTCAACATGCACATGTATCCAGTGTATTTTTCAAGCTGCCCAGTCAGGTATTCAAACCGCCAAGTTGACCATGTGGGATCCAGCCACCCTAACCTCCATGCTAGTTTGCTGGCCCTGGCAAAAATTCTTTTAAAAAAGGACAATTTGAGACGAAAAGTAACTCTTGGTTTATTTGGTGGAATCTGAAAAAGGTCATGGAGAAATGGAATTAAATGCAATTTTGGTGCAAAAAAAAATTTAAATCCATGCATAATTTTTTCATAATAAGCACTTTCTTAAAATGTTCTGAAGATCCTTCACACAGATGTGTTATCTTTTTGATAATGTTTTAATTTAATTAATAAAATACAAAAAGACCATTTTGAACTTGAGTCTACATACCTTTAGGCTTTGGCATCCAAGAATAGAGGGGCTGGGGGGAGGTTTTTTGTGTCATAGGGCACATGCGCTCACCAGAGAAACAGACAGACAGAAAGTGAGAAATTATCCCCAATAGGGATGGCCATGCTGCAATCCCTTCTCTTCCACTCTCCACCTGGTATCTTGGGTATATACACACATGCGCCCAATGTCAGTTTTAAGCCATCAGGTCCAGGACTCCACTTATGGTCAGCCATGTGGGAGTCCAGTGATGTAACCACTACACCATCTGCTGGCACTTTAAGTATAGAAGTTTTTAACTAAGCTAATATGACATGTCTTATACTTACATCATTGTAATAGCCGGCATCTGGCTGAATTGCCCGCATATCTCTCTGGTCCCTTTGCCATATTCTATTCTGTTAAATAACACATAAACAAACATATCAATTAACGATTGTAATGGTCTAATTATACTCAATTTGAAATTAATCATTAATAAAATATAAGTTACATTACATAGAAAGACACAGAAGTTAAAATCATATTATTTTCTAAAACAGATAAGAATGCATACCTTTAGAGAATGTCCCTTCTTATCCTACTGACATAACAGAATTTCACTCCTCACTTTATTCACATTAGGCCCCAGAGACTCATCTAATATCCCCAACACATTCTCACTGACCTTAAGAAAATGAAACAGGATAGGAAGTAGACATCCCCAAATCCTCCAAAACCCTCAGCATAAAATAATTCCTCATATCTTGCCCTTGTAATTCCTCTCACTCTCTTTCCTAGTTTAGTTTCCTAGCTGAAATTCCCAGAAAAGTCTAAATCTGTCTTTACCTCTGAATCTACTTCTTACGTATGCCTACAACATACTAATTGGGCCCAATAAGCAAATAGGTCTTTAACCACAGGTATAAGATAATATAAAGCAGACAAATTTTCACAGGAGGTCAAAATAGACAAAAACCCAATGAAATAACCTGATAACATTAGGACTGAAAAGCTATATCAGAACCTAATTTGGAGTTTAAGGCAAGCAAGTAAAGTATTCAGAAAAGGGGGGATCAGCAGTTAGCATAATGGCTATGTCGCTGGACTCCCATGTAGTCGACCGCGGTTCGAGTCCCAGACCCGGCGGCTTAAACTCACTCCGGGTGCGTGTGCATGCGTGCCCAAGATTCTGAGAGAATGGAGGAGAAGGGATTGTGGCATGGCCATCCCCCCTGGGGGGGGTGATTTCTCGCCTTCTATCTCTCTGTCTCTCTCTGTCTGCTGAGTGCACGCGCCTTATAGTGAAAAACCGCGCTGATTGCCCCCTCTTAATAGTGAAACCCCCCCCAAAAAAAAAAAAAAAAAAGAATTCAGAAAAGGGAAATATCAAGTTCAGAGAGCTTTAGGAAGACCTCTACTCCACCATCTGAGTTACCTTCACTCTTGAGGACGGTACTAGGTGATCATCTGTTAAGAATCTTGACAAGAGCTATCTCAACTGTTTCCCAACATAAGAGCCACCTTACCATCATGGGCTTAAAAGTAGGAGATGCCATGTGTCAATGTCTCTGACACTCTAGTTGCAGTTCTGAATTATGCTCTCATAGAAACATTCCTATGTGGGTGGTCTCTTATTATCACATATATACTGTGAATTTAACAAGTGGTTAAGGATGGTCTTAGGAATTAAAAGTACCCTCTTCTGTTTGTTGTGAACCTTTAGAACAAAGTCTATTTCAAACTGAAGTTAACATTTAATAATTTTTCAGAAGGAGATGCCTGCAGAATATTTTTTAAATACTGGTGATTTGAGGTCCTCCTTAAATGGTACACTTTGAAATTCCACTTCATCCCACTCATTTGAACAACATGGGTACATTTATTATCCTATATTTGGAAAACTTTCTTCTTTTTAAAAAACTGAATTTTGGTTGTCTGAAGCACATTTGTTGGACTCACCTCCAAATACTTAATTACCGATGGATTATAGTCAATGGTTTTTCGGTTCACGGCTTTTCGCATTCGTTTTCCATCAAAGGTAAGCTGCTGCATTGCTTGCTGCTGTGCAAAATCAGGTCGCTTATAGAACAGCTGTCGAGGTGCCTGGTGCTGGAACCTTGGCATATGGAAAAAACGAGGAGGAGAACCAATTTCTGTAGCCATGGTGATGTTTTCCTTCTAGGATACAAGGACAGGGAAAAAGTACTTTCACTCCAAAATCAACACTGTACCATGCCTGAAAACATTTTTTAAATGAACACTTCTTATACTTTTCTTCCCATTACTAACAAAGGATATTGCTAGTTTTCAATCTACTTACAATATAAACTATTAGATTAATAACAAAGACCAGTTAACATTCGGAAACGTAGATTCACAAAATAAATGCTAATAGGCACTTGGTATAAAATCCAGCACAATGAAAGAAACACAATTCATAACACCTAGGGGGTGGAGATGGGTAGGGAGTAGGGGGTAGGTAAGTGGGGGAAGAAAAGAAAGGTAGCATGACTGGGAACTATTCAAATGTTTAAAATAAAGCTCTTATTGGGAACCAGCAGTTAGCGTAATGGCTATGTCGCTGGACTCCCACGTAGTCGACCACGGTTTGCATCCCGGACCCGGTGGCTTAAAACTCACGCCGGGCACGTGTGCGTGCATGCCCAAGATCCCAAGAGGAGAATGGAGGAGAAGGGATTGCAGCGTGACCATTCCTCCTGGGGGGTGATTTCTCGCTTTCTGTCTCTATGTCTCTCTCTGTCTGGCTGGCGAGCACATGCGCCCTATAGTGAAAACCTCTCCAAAATAAATAAATAAATAAAAATAAAGCTCTTATTTAGATAAATGAGAGTAAAACTAATTTATTTCTTCCATGAGTGAGAGAGACAAAGACAGATGCAATGATCCACCCCCAGCTTCAGCCAGCTCCAGATCACAGAAAAATGCCTAGCATACTCAGGAAAATCTCTGGATGCAAACCCAGAACTTTCTCACAGGGGTCAGCCTCAGATAGAATAGTGGGTTTGTTTTTGTTGCTGTTTTTGTTTGTTTGTTTTTACTAAGGCTTCTTCTCCCCCAGCAGAGTGCACACGCTCACCAGAGAAAGAGACAGTGTGAGGGACAGTAAGAAATCACTCCCACGGGAATGAACACACCACAATCTCTTCTCCATTCTTCTAGGATTTTGGACACACGTGTATGTGTGCCCAACATGATTTTCAACCCACCAGTCTGGGACTCAAACTGTGGTTGGTCATGTGGGAGTCAGATCACCTGCTAGCCCCAAAGCACAGTGTTTTTACCACTGTGCCACCATTTGGCCCCCGAAATATGCATGATTTTAAAATAAATATCTAAGCATATTTCTTAAATCAGACCATTAAAGAAATATAAACAATAGAAGTTAAAAGCATTTCCACACGAGCCTGCAGATGGTATAGTGTTTAAGGCACTGAACTCTCACGGTTGACCGTGGCTTAAGTCCCAGATCCAGTGGCTTGAAACTTGCACCAGGCGCATGTGTATGAGTGCCCAAAATCCTGAGAGGAGAATAGAGAAGAAGGAATTGTGGTGCAGCCATTACCTCGGGGGTGATTTCTCACTTTCTGTATCTCTGGTGAGCAAACATGCCCTATAGCAAGAAAAAAACCTCTTTAAAATAAGGGGGGGAGGACCAACAGATGACCTAATGGTTACATCACTGGACTCCCATGTAGTGAACTGCAGTTCAAGTCCCGGAACTGGCAGCTTCAAACTCACACTGGGCGAAATCCAGAGAGGAGAATGCAGGAGAAGGGATTGTGGTGTGGCCATTCCTCATAGGGGGTGATTTCTCACTTTCTCTCTGTCTCTCCAGTGAATGCAAGCGTCCTACAGCAAAAATCTCTCTTAAAAAAAATAATAAATAGGGGCCAGCAGGTGGCAATGTGGTTAACAGCATTGGACTCCCACATGGCTGACCATACTTTGAGTCCCAGATTTGGCAGCTTGCTTGCTTGCTCGCGCTCGCGCTCTCTCGTGCGTGCGCGCGCTCTCTATCTCCCCCTCCTTTTCTGGAGAAAAAAAATTTTTTTTTCTTTTTGGAGAGGTTTTTGCTATAGGGCGCGTGCACTCGCCAGAAAGACAGAGAGACAGAAAGCGAGAAATCACCCCCCAGGAGGGATGGCCACACCATAATCCCTTCTCCTCCATTCTCCTCTCGGGATCTTGGGCATGCACGCACACGCACCTAGCATGAGTTTAAGCTACCGGGTCCAGGACTCGAACCGCAGTCGACTACATGGGAGTCCAGCGGCATAGCCCTTACACTAACTGCTGGTCCCTCTGTAGAAAAATTATAAAATAATAATAATGATATATAAAATTAAATAACTTTAAACATAAATAAATAAAAACAAAAAGCATTTCCACAATTATTTTTTGTTTCAAAAGCAGGAAAGATAATAATGGCTGTTTATTTTTTTCTGTATTCTTACATTGGCCTAAATCACCCTCAACACACTAAATAAAGGGCTCAAAAATAATTTATGATTTCCTTTGGATGAAAATATTCTTAGAACTACTTCACTCATCTTTATCACTTTAGTCCCTCCTAAGAACCATTTTAAAAGATAATAATAAGCACAGTAATAGTAATAATAATGATGACAAAAAAGGTGAAGAGAGAAGAAATCCTGATTCCTGCAATACCAAAAATAAGTAGTGCAGTAAAATATGCATGTAACATGTGTTATTTCCACCACTTTGGAGTAATCACTGACAAATGTTACTTGTAATGAGTAACATCCTATCTCTCTCAGAGCTGCATGAATTAAATGAGTATACAAAATGCAGAACCAGAGGCTAGCAGGTAGCATTAAGGCAGCTGGATCTCACATAGCTGACTTGGAGGTTCGAGTCCTGGACCAGAAGCTTGAAAATTATGCTGGCAACGTGTGCAAGCACGCCCAAAATCATGAGAGGAGAATAAAGGACTGCAGTGTGGCCATCTTCTGTGGGAGGGAGAGGGAAGTGATTTCTCATCTTCCCTCTAACTCTCTGGTTAGTGCATGTGTCCTATAACACCCCCAAGAAAAGTTTGTCTCAATGCCTTTTGTGGAAGACTATTTAGCTATTCCATCAATCCAAGTAAGTTTTAGTATCCAGATTTTAATTAATAGCTTCAATTCAGATGTCTTGGACAATAATTTTGAAAAGATACAGTTTGGGGGCCAGCAGATGGCGTGATGGTTAAGGGCGCTAGATTCCCACAAGGCCAATCGCAGTTTGAGTCTCAGACCTGACGGCTTGCTTTCTCTCCTTTCCCTGTCTCTCTCTCTCTGTCAGTCTGGTAAAATTAAAATAATAGTAATAATTATAATAACAAATGGAATTAAATAACTCTTTCTTAAAAAAAAAATAAAAGATACAGTCTGAAGAACGTATTTTTAAATTACCATTTTTTTTTTCACATTACGGTCATCAACTCTTGGCTGAGACCAGAGGTGGATGGCAGCATGAGAACCCTGTTGGAAGTGCATGCCTATTCCTCACTCCCATGGAAGAAATAAAAGAACATAGAAAAATATTTGACTTTATTAGAATAAAATTATTCTATTATGTTTCTAATATTATTCACATCAAATGAGAACAATAAAGATCTGTACATATATCAAAAGGTACTTAAATTTTATTTGCCCAAAAATGAGAAATGAAGAATGATACAAACTAAATGTAGGTTAACAACAAAAACAGGGGCCATCCGATGACCTGGTATAGTTAAGATGACTGGATCCCACATGGCTGTGTGGTTCGAGCCTTGGACCCAGCAGCTTAAGAAATATGCTGGGAACCTGTCCATGCATGTCCAAAATCCCACAGGGAGAGACAGGTAACAGAGAAGGGATTGCAGTGTGACCAATCCCCATGGGGGCTGCTTTCTCATTTTGCCTCTATTCCTGTCTCTTCCATCTCTCTCCAGGGAGAGCACATGCCCTCTGGCAAATTAAAAATGGCAGTAACAAAAACATTGCTCTAAGTAGGGACCAGCAGATAGTGTGGTGGTTAAGGGCACTGGACTCCCACACTGACAACCACAATTTGAGTCCCAGACCTGGTGGCTTGCTTTCTCGCTCGCGCTCTCTCTCTCTCTCTCTCTCTCTTCCCCCGCCCTCTTTGGTCAAATAAAAATAAATAAATGAATAAAGTTAAATAAAATAATTCTTTTTTTAAAATTTCAAAAACAAACAAACAAAAAAAAAAAAACCAAACCCAAAAAGCCTTATGTTAAGTGAAAGAAGTCAGACACAAAGGACACAATACAGAGACAGGAAGCTAATAGATCAGTGGACAACAAGGGCTAGAGAGTGAGTACTTAATGGAAATGGGCTTTCCTTTAGGGATGATAAGAATGTCTAGGAACCTAATAAAGGTGGTAGCTACATGCGCTGTGAATGTACCAAACGCCACTGAATTGTAAACTTTAAAATGCTTAAGACAGTGAATCTAATGTCATGTGAATTTTACCTCAATTAAAGATTAGGAAGTTAATCCACTGGAAAAAAATCTTAAATGGGCAGTAACAGAAAGCTGGCAATTGTTAAAGTTGAATGATGAGTGCATGGATACAAAAAAAGCACTAACCTTTAGAGACAAATCAAGGATACACTGGGAAAATGAGGAAAATTACTGAAGCCAAATGCACAATAATCACCACACTGTTATTATCACTGTTCTGAATAATTCATATATTAAACCTAGAGAAAATATCAATCCTTCAATTAAGAGCTTATAGAGAATGGGAGAAAATATATTTCCATTTACAAATGTGTTAGGTAAAATTTGTCTTTAAAAATCCCTCTAGGGATCAGCAGCAGATGTAATGATTATGTCACTGGACTCCCACATGGCCAACAGTGGTTCAAGTCCTGGACCTGGAGGCTTGAAACTCATGCCAGGTACATGTGCGTGCATGCCCAAAATCCTAAGAGGGGAATGGAGAAGGAATTGCGGTGTGGTCATCCCCCCTGGAGAGTGATTTCTCACTTTTCTGTCTCTCTGTTTCTCTCTCTCTCTCCAGCAAGTGCACACGCCTTACAGAAAAAAACCCTCTCAATTAAAAAAAGCTACTTTTTCCTTGAATCTTCAAGTACTACTTGTGTTCCAGAAATAACAGTCCAGCGTGAAGAAAAAGAGAAAGAAAATACAAATAAAATAATAAGTCTCTGCACTATTCAGTGACCAGGCTTCCCAAATGCCTTATACACTTCAGGTTCATATCCTGCTAGTCATTAAGCTACTTGGCCAAAGTTGGAACAAAGTCTCTTGATGGTTGGTATGGCGTGAACTGTGTCCACCCCCAAAATTCTTATGTTAAAAGCCTAACCTCCAACACCTCAGAATATGACTGTATTTGAATTCAGAACCCTAATCCAATCTGACTGGTATCCTTTTAAGAGAAAATTGGGACCATGTGAGGACTAACAAGAAGGTAGCCATCAATCTACAAGCCAATGAGAGGCGTCACCAGAACCAACCATATTCATACCTTGATCTCAGACTTTTAGGCTCAAGGACTGTGGAAAAAATTAATTCCTACTGTGGAAACAGCCGTCTGTGCTCCTTTGTTACATCACCCTAGACAATTATTGGGTTGCTGGGTAAGTCATGGTGTGTTTTTCTATGCAAAAATGTCATGACTTTCCATATGACCCAATAGTAGAGTGGCAAAATCAGGGGAAAACATCTGGACCTCCTGACTGTCCAGCATAGTGGCCAAAAGATTTCAGCAATAACAACATAATGACTTTCTCTGATAGAAGAAAATTCAACAGGGTCAGCTTTGTGGCCTAGGTGTTAAGGTAGCCAGATACCAGCCCAAGAGGCTTTAAAAACACTCTGGAGTTATGTGTGTGCCCAAAATCTGAAGGAATGGAGAAATGGAGCAGAATGGATTGCGGCATGACCAAACCTTATTGGAGGGACACTTTCTTCCATCCCCTCCTCTTTATTTTTTTCTCTGGCAAGCACACACACCCTTCTTGTCAATTTAAAAAAAAAAAAAAAAAAGGAAAGAAATGAAATGAAAAACTCAAAGCACGAAATTGAAAAATGACTCAGAGACATTCCTCAAAAGTCATTAAATCTGGGGCCAGTAGGTGGTGTGGTAGTTAACAAACTGGATTCCCACTGACTATGGTTCAAGTCCTGGACATGGCAACTTGAAAAATCACACCAGACATATGTGTCCAAAATCCTGAGAGGAGAATGGAGATAGGACTGCAAAGTGGCATACCCCCTGGGAGGTGATTTCTCACTTTCCCTCTCTCTGTCTCTCTCCCTTGAGTGTTTGCACACTATGGCAAAACTAACAACAACCAAAAAAAGTCATTAAATCTATCCTCAGGCTTCAGTAGGGGCTAAATTTTAAAAAACTACATTTAAAAACAGATTCAGAAGGGACCAGTAGATGGCATCATGGCTACATTGCTGGACTCTTCATGTAGTCAACTGCAGTTCGAGTCCTAGACCTGGTGGCTTAAACTCACGCCAGGCATGTGTGCGTGCGTGCCCAAGGTCCCGAGAGGAGAATGCAGGAGAAGGGATTGTGGCATGGTCATCCCCCCTGGGGAGTGATTTCTCCCTTTCTGTCTCTCTGCCTTTCTCTGTTTTAATGGTGAGTGCATATAGTGCATATGCCTTATAGCAAAACCTTCTACCAAAAAAAAAAAAAAATCAGAAAAAGAAATAAGGTCTTTATCTTCCATGAAAATAATTACTGCGATTATTCACTTAAGGTACACTAACAGGACACAATAATTTAAACTAGACGATTGAATAAATACACCTCCAAAATATATTCATCCATCGCACGTATATGGGTCTGACAGTGAGGAAAGAGATTGGGAAGGGAGAAGTCAAGAGTGAAAAATTGAGGTGGAGAGAAGACAAATAATTTGCCTATAGTTACTCAGTGCACACTAACAACAGAACCCAACTACTAAGGACAAAAATCTACCTGAAACATTGAAATAATCATGCCTCTCTCCTACACACATACCTTTAATATTTCAAGCAAACAGCACAATTTCATCAAGTGCCTGCTACCTATTTTAGTGTACACCGTGTCAAGTACAACATACGTATGGCTTAATAAGTATCACGTCTAACTTTGTAGTACCTGGTCCCATCTCAATTTTTAGCAAAAGCAAGGACTCCTAAGCACAGAAAAGTTTGCAGCATGTCCTCAGCCTTCAAGCTTTCAACTACTTACCAAAATGAGGCATGCCCGTCAACATCGCTACATCTATTTCCTCAACCTATAAAATAACAATGAAGATAATCTCAAAGATTCTTTTAGTCCAAAGATACTAGTTTACATTAAATATATTATTCTTTTAGACAATCTAGTGACTAGTCTTCTGAACAAAATGCACTGCCCAGTCTCAGCTGTGTCCAATGTTTGCATATACAAATCCATACCAACATTACAATTCTGTTTATCCAACTGCTAACAAAACAATGCAGTATTATCAAAACTGTCATTGACAATAATAGTTAAAAGTGGGTAAAAACCACATACTTTTCTTAAAGAAAAATCAGTTCATAACTGCTTTTCTTGAAAGTCATTGTACATTTCCCATTTTAGAGCTCTGCTAAATAACTCACAGAACCTAAATCTCAACTTAAAAGTAATAAAAACAATATACAAGAGCTTACGAAACCTCAGAAATTAGAATAAGGAGGGAACAGCAGATGGCATAAAGGGTACATCGCTGGACTCCCATGTACTCGACCATGGTTCAAGTCCTGGACCCAGTGGCTTCAACTCATGCTGGGCCCAAGTACGTGTGTGCCCAAGATCCCAAGAGGAGAATGGAGGAGAAGGGATTGTGGCATGGCCATCCTCTCTGGGGGGTGATTGCTCTCTTTCTGTCACTCTGTCTCTCTCTTTCTGGTGAGCGCACACGATCTATAGCAAAAACCTCTCAAAAAAAGAAAAGAAAAGAAAAGAAAAGAAAAGAAAAGAAAAGAAAAGAAAAGAAAAGAAAAGAAAAGAAAAGAAATCAGAATAAGGAATAAAGGAATAGAGGGGTCAGCAGATGCCATTGTGGTTATGTCACTAGACTCCAACATGGCTGGTGGTAGTCTGAGTCCTGGACCCAGTGGCTTGAAAATCGTTTCAGGGACATGTGTGTACATACCCAAGATCCCAGGAGGATAATGGAGGAAAAGGGATTTTCCTTTTGGGAATGGCCATCCCCCTAGGGAATTTCTCACTTTCCCTCTCAATCTCTCTCTCTCTCTCTGGCAAATATACATGCCTTATGACCAAAAAATAAATAAATAAATAAATAAAATATATAAGAAACAGAACAAAGACAAAGGAATTCATGAGAAGACTTAAGCTGAAAATAATATGGAAAGATTTATTAATATTTGAATTGGCCTCACTGGAATCACTAAGGCAGTTATTAGTCAATATACACACTTAGGAATAGTCAAAATAGTTGAAAAAACACCTGTGGCATAGAGACACATAATGAGAAATGCAACTCACTTAAGGAACTAATCATTGGGCGCTATCAGGCACTGAAGATAGAATACACATACAGACTCTATTCTGAAGATTTGGGGTTTATCAGTGTATTTATTATGGAAGAGTGCAAATGGACAGCACAGTGAGAATGTCCTACTGCACACAGAAGACACTATTCTGCTATGTCCCAGACACTTCTACAGGCAGTGAGGATGCAGCACAGGAAGCCTACAGCACCGATCAGCTCTAAGAAGCTTAAATTAGACTGAGAGAGGCAGCAGGAAAAGATCCTTGAATAAAGAAACAAAACAAGTGAAGCCCTCTCTCATCCATTCAGCATAATCTTCCCCAGCAAATGTTTCTGACTCTGCCATTCAGACAATTTTACCACAGTATTAAAAATAGCAGGGAAAAGATATTTCTTCCTTCATTTTACCAGAGGGCACATGAGCTCACCAGAGAGAAATGGAAAGACAGGCAGGGATAGGGAGAAAACATGATCCCTTTATGGGGAATGGTCATACCACAATCACTTTCTCCTCTATTTCTTCCTCCTTTTGAAATTTTGGGCATGCACAAACGTGTGTCCAGTGTGTTTCTCAAGCCACCAAGACTCCAACAGCAGAGTCAGCCATGTGGGATCCAGCAGCCTTTAACCACCAGGCCACAGGCTGGCCCAAAAGGTATATACCTTATAGAAAAATAAACTAGCTAAAGTTCAAGTAATTCCTGGGGTCAGCAGATGGTATAATGATTATGTCCCTGGACTCCCACATGGCCAACCATGGTTCGAGTCCTAGACCCAGAGGCTTGAAACTTACACCGGGCGTGTGTGTGTACATGTCCAAAACCCCAAGAGGAAAAGGATAGCAGCATGGCCACCCCTCCGGGGGGTGATTTCTTGCTTTCTGTCTTTGTCTCTCTGTCTCTCTCTCTGGTGAGCACAAGTATCCTGTAGCAAAAAAAAACTCTCTAAAAAAAAAAAATCAAGTAACTCTAGAAACTCAATTCAACATGAATTTACTAAATATGCCATACAATTGAGTAAACAGTTTTAAACAAAGATTCAGGAGGGTGGAATTGAGACTACAGCATCAAAAAAGAAAATTACAAAAGAGAGGTCATAAATGGGCTTAACGGTGGTGTTTTTTCTTTCTTTTTTTTTGGAGAGGTTTTTGCTGTAGGGCGTGTGCGCTCGCCAGACAGACAGAGACAGAAAGCAAGAAATCACCCCCCAGGGGGGATGGCCACGCCACAATCCCTTCTCCTCTTGGGATCTTGGGCACGCACGCACACGCACCCGGCGTGAGTTTAAGCCACCGGGTCCGGGACTCGAACCGCGGTCGACTACGTGGGAGTCCAGCGACATAGCCATTACGCTAACTGCTGGTCCCAAGATGGTGTTTTCTCTTTAAATGAAAAGTTGAATTCTATTGGTGATTCATGAAATAAATTCAGCTGACAAGTAGCATAATTTTAATTTAAAAGAAAAAAATAATTATGAGTGAACTGTACATTTGAAAAGAAAAAGGATTTTGTAAACGTCTGACTACTTGTGTTTCTGGGTTGCAAAGTAAAGAGGATTTCCCTCCTGGGAATCTGTGAAGTGAAACACGAGAGCTTAATGTTAACACACCATGAAGTGTTGCCTCCCGAAGCATCTTCTGTTTATGATTACTTCTTCACTGCATATCCGAAGCATTTGCACAACATGGACACTGTGCCTGGCCACAGTAGCTACAGCACTAGAATTTGGTCCAATTACCAAATCCAACAATTCCTACCTTGTCAGCCACTAATGAGAGCTTCTAAAAACAGCTTAAGAAAGCTCATTTTCCCAAACTGAGATAATATTAATAGATTCAAACCAAGAGCAAATTGTCAGTGCATTAACTACTTAGGGTGTTAAATACTTAGAACACCTGTGCTATAGGGGTCTTATTTAAGAAATCTTTGCCTACTCTGATGCCTAAGAATTTCTCCTATGTTTTTCACCAGTAGTCTTACAGTTCGAAGCTTTATTGAGTTGTCGGAAAAGGTATAATACGTTTTTGCATTTAAAAACAGGAAAACATGTCATGACTTTCCTGATAATCTAGTGTGTTTAGATCCTGGATCTATTTTGAGTTGATTTTGGTTAATGGAAGAGATAGGGGTCTGGTTTCATTTTTCTGCAGGTGGATATCTAGTTCTTCTAGTACCATTCGCTGAAGAGACTTTCTCTTCTCCATTACATTGTTTTGTGTCCTTTGCTAAAAATCAGTTGGCTTGGGACCAGCAGATGGTAATGATAGTTATATCACTGGATTCCCACATAGCCAAACACAATTTGAGTCAGAAACCAATGGCTTAAAACCCACACTCGGGGGCTGGCCGGTGGTGTGGTGGATAGGGGCGCTGGATTCCTACATGGCCGACCATGGTTAAAGTCCCAGACCTGGTGACTTGCTTTCTCACTTTCCCTTTCCCTCCCTCTCTCTGGTGGTCAAATCAAAAAATAACAATAGTTAAGTGGAATAAACAATCTTAAATATATATATATATATAAAACTCACACTGGGCACATGTGCATGTGAGCCCAAGATCCCGAGAGGACAATGGAGGAGAATGGATTGCAGTGTGGCCATCTCCTCAGGGTATGATTTCTCACTTTCTGTCTCTCTGTCTCTATCTAGCAAGCACATGTGTTCATAGCAAAAATCCCTCTTTAAAATAAATCAGTTGGCTTGAGGCCAGCAAGTGGCATGGTTGTTAAGATGCTGGACTCCAACACAGTCGACCACAGTTTGAGTCCCAGATCGGGCAGCTTGAAAATCATGATGGGCAAGTGTGTGTGTGTGTGTGTGTGTGTGTGTGTGTGTGTCCCCAAAATCCCAGGAGAAGAATGGAGAAGGAGTGGCCAGTATCTCCTAAGGGTAAGCTCTTACTTTCCCTCTTATTGACTGGCTCTGCCCCTCCCCAATCCAGCAAGTGCATGCATCCTATGACAATAAATAAATATTTTTCTTAATTAAATATATACATTTTTGAAAAATTAGTTGGCTATACGTTTAAATAGAACTACCATACAACCTAGTAATACCACTTTTAGGTATTTATGCAAAAGATAGAAAAATAGGCAGGAAAACACTTGCTTATCCATGTTTGTTGTAGCACTATTCACAATTGCTAAGGAATGTAATCAGCAACTCAAATGTCCAAGAATGGATGACTGAATTGAAAAACTATGGCACATATACACTATGGACTACAATTCAGCCATAATGAAACCCTCTCATTTGATACAAAGTGGATGAATATGGAAGATTTAATGCTAAGCGAAGCAAGCTAGAATATGAAGGACAAATATCATATGTCCCCATTTAATACATACCAAATGTCTGCACTCTATAGCAGAAACCAAAAGAGCAGAAGGTATAACAGGGAGTGCAAGCACAGACACCAAGGACTGTAAAAGGGGTTGGTTGTGGGGGAAGAGGCTCAAGGGAAAAAAACACTTAACAGATATAAGAATGGAAGTTATCTATCAATGTATATGGTAAAATTTTTGACTTGATTGATATGCACTTCAGGTATTCTGGGAAAAACTATGTTGCAAGCAGTAAAGATATACAATGATTAAATAAATCTTAAAAAAAAATTAAAAGTTTATTTATTCACTTCTTCCATAAGCAGAAAGAAAGAGAAAGACAGCACTTCTACAGGGTCCCAATGCTGGAATCCACCCCAAGCTTCAACCAGCCCTGGGTCATATGCATGCATGCGCTTGGCAAATCAAGG